CAGTGGTGCCAACGGCGGCGCCTGCGGCGGCGCATGCGGCGCACAAACTTGCGTCGCGCCCGGCAGCGCGATCCCGCCCGCGCTCGAGCTTTTGGGTCGCCTGCGATCGCTGCGACAAGTGGCGGCGACTACCGAGCGAGGGGCGAGCCGGCCGGCCCGCTTCGCTCCCTCCAGTCTGGTACTGCTGGATGCACCCAAATCCGGCGGCCCGCCGGTGCGAGGATCCCGAGGAGGTCGCGAGCGAGGATGAGGTGGAGGAGGGGCAGGCGAGCGAAGAAGGGGAGGGAGCGGAGGCGGCGGCTTGCGTGAGCGTCGGGGCGGAGGACGCCGTTCCACCTCATGAGCAGCGGCGGAAGCCGCGAGTCGGACGGCGCACGTCGGCGAGGGAGCGGCGCGCGCGCGGCGGGGCGGCCGCGGCCACGAAGGCGGACGAGGAGGACGGGGCGTGCGAGGCCGTTTGCAGGGCCGTGAGCGAGCAGCAGCGCTGCGGCAACACCCTCGAGCGCGCGGGCGGCGCCTTTGGGTGCCTGCTGCCCGCGGGGCACGCCGGTCCGCACCAGATCGTGCAGCCAGGCAGGCGGGCTCGCAAGGTCGAGGCACCGCCCGCGCTGGAGCCGCGGCCACGGCCGCTGAGCGCGTACCAGCTCTTCATGAAGGACGAGGTGGCGCGGCTCAAGGCGTCCGACTCGGAGATCTCGCACAAGGAGGCGTTCAAGGAGGCCGCACGCACTTGGGGCACCGCCGACGCCAACCCGCAGAAGCGCGCCATGGCGGACGCGACGCGCAGCGTGCCTGCGCCGGCAGAGGGCGAGGGCGGCGCCGCGCGCGAACGTGTGGGCGGGGGCGCCGTGCCACCGCCCGCTGCCCGCAAGCGCCAGCGCGAAGAGCCGCCGCCGCCGCCGTCAAAGGAGGCGGCGACGGCCGCGGGCCACGTCGATGAGGTGCCGCGCGCGCTGGAGCAGCTCGCCGCGGGCACGCGCGTGCGGGTGCTGTGGGAGGGGGGCGAGTGGTACGCCGGGAGGTTCAAGGGCCACTCCTCCGCGAGAGGGCACTGCGTCGCGTACGACGACGGCGACGTCCGCTACCACCGTTTGGAGGATGAGGTCTGGGAGATCGAGGGCAGCGGCGGCGGAGGGCAGGGCGCGGCGACCTTGTCGGCTGCGGCGACCTCGTCTGCTGCGACGAGGCAGAAACGACGCGACGCGCCCCCGGAGGCGCCGCGGCGGAAACAACGGCGGGTGGAGGAGGGGGGCGAGGTGGACAACGTGGCCGACAGCGGGGGCGCCGCGCCGCTTCTCGACGAGGTGTGTTCCGCGGCCCCGGCGGGTGGACGAGGCAGTGACGCCTTCACTCCCCCCCCCCCCCCCTCCCCCGTTCAGATGGAGGGTGTCCGCCTCCACCTCAGCAGCACCTCCAACACGGGCTACCGCGGAGTGCACAAGAGGAACGACCTACCCGGCACAGGCAAGCCGTACATAGTCAAGCTGAGGTCTACATCGAGCTACTTTGCCACCGCTGTCGAGGCAGCCCTCTACTACGCACGCTCGAGCACGGGGGCTGGGTCGGTCGGCGGCGGCCCTTCCTCGAGCGCTACCCAGGGCGCTCCCCCAAAGGACGAGGCTCTGCCCGAGTCGGACAGCCGGGCCGCGCCAGAGGCGGAGGCTCCGACGCGAAACGCCTGGGGCGGGATGGCCAAGGTGCGACCGCTGCTCGAAGGCCTCGGCCTGCTCGACTACGCGGCCGCCTTTGACGCCGCGGGCTACGACGACGACGAATTTCTCCTCTCTCTCGACGGCGGCGAGCTCGCCGAGGCGGCGGCGGAGGTCGGGATGCGAGCGGACCACGCGCGGCGCTTTGTGCGCGAGGTCGGCTCCCTCCCTCGGGCGCCGCCGCGCGCGAGCAGGCTGTGGGCCTGATCCCGAGCAGGGAGGGGGAGTAGCGTCAACGGGAATTCGCCGCTGGGTTGTGCTTGGAGCACAAACTCGGGCTGCTGCGCTGGCCGCCTGCTGCCTCTCCCCGCTGCCCTGGCCTATCAGTATATGTCACCGCCATGGAGCATGGTTGTTCAACGATTCCGAGACGTGCGTTGATGCTTTTCTATTTCAGAATCAAGAAAGAAGACAGACTCACACAACCCAAGGGAGGGATGGGAGGACGCCATGCCGCCACCACACAGAAAGAAAGAAAGAAAGAACACAGACAACCCAAGGGAGGGATGGGAGGACGGCACGCCGCCACCACACAGGGATTTTAAGGAGAGGTGTGTGGTGCGCTAGCCGTCGCCCACCCTAGGGAGTCTGCCTCTTCCTATCTCTCTTCGCAGTCTCTCGCCGCTTCTCGCTGCAACCTTCATGCCACCTCGCGGTCGTCCCACTCTCGTCGTTCTCTCCCTTGTCATTTCCTCCTCTGTCGCGTCGTTCTCTTCTGCCTCGTCCTGTGACGCCGCCGCCTGCCGGTCCCTTGTTCTCGCGGTTTCTTTTGCCTTTCGGCGCAACTCCGTCCTCCTCGCGGCGTATCCTGGCCCCTCGAGTCTATCGAGCTCCCCTCGCGCAAGGACCACATTTCTGACTCCCACTCCGATCATTTGCCTCCAAGTCATGTCGTTGCTCAGGTCCACTCTCTCTTCGAACACTCGTGCCTCTACGGATGATGCCGGCGCTGGGGTCCCCTTCGGATGCATCGTGACATCTGACAACTGGATTTCCACTGGTTCGTCCTCCTCTGAGTCATCTTCCCCGTCCTCCTTCCGCTCGGCTCTTCGCTCGGTACGTTCGGTGTGGCTCACCCTCCATGCCGTGAACAGGCGCTTTATCCACCCTATATTCTTCTCTCGTTCCTCTGCCCGTGCCTTGGTCTTGTCGTTGTTTCGCACCCATGTCTGTATGGCCATCGAGGCTGCCTTCCCCACTACCTGTAGTTCACTCGTCACCTCTCCCGCGAGCTCCCTTCTCTTTCTTTCGGGCATGGAGTCCGTGAGTGCGGGTAGCGTGCAGGCAATCACGGGCGCTATTTTGTCGTACTCCTCTTCGGCGAGCGCTCCAAATCTAGACCCTTTCGCCTTTAAGGAGGCTGCCCTCGCGCGTCTCAGGAATGTAGCGGTGTCTTTTGAGTCCGGCGCCGCCCGTTCGACTATTGCTGTCGCCCTCGCTGTGTGTTTGTCGAGCTTCCGCATGAATTGACGCGCCTCTTCCTTATTTCCAGCGCAGCTGCCGCTCAGTATGTGCGCCAACGACGCCTGTGGTGGCTCACTGTCTTCTTGTTTCCAGTCGTCCCAGTCTTTCAGTTCCCCGCGTCTCCTCCTTGCCTCGCGCGCCTCTTTTGTGGCCTCATCCCTAGCCGCTTTGCACGCTCTGCATCCCCAGAACGCACTTCTCGTGGCGGGGCCCCTCATTCCCCGTTTCTTTTCCCCCTCTAGAATACGCCTGTGGTGTGCCCCGTGTGGCACCCCGACCTGTTGTCTCACCCTGGCCCCCAAGATCGTTTTGGTCGTCACATTGTGATCCCCGACGTCGTCAAATGTCGCGCCGCC